GGTCACTGAAGGGAGACAGGTTGACGCAATTTACGGCCGGCGGTACCAGAGCTATCACCCTCGCCGACTCGTCGAGACACGTGACGTCTAATCTAGGCTGGCCATTACCACCAGCCTAGCAACTGTTAGGTGGCAGACACGACCCTTACTGCCAATAATTGTGGCAGCCACCTGAAAAGAGAGCATGGCAGGTAGAATTACGAGTCTTAGTTAGTTCATAATTATTCGCGATATCCTGTGGATTCCCTCTCTTCGAGAGTAGACAATAGACCTATTTTTCAGAACTCCAACTAGTCTTTTAGGTCTTCCAAGTCATTTGCATTGTTTTCGCGTATGTCTCAAAAGTCCGCCTTGGTGTTAGACATTTAATCGTGATGACCCGGTTTCTGGTTCATTTTCTCACACGGCTTTAGCATCTTTACTTTCGCAGTTCTTGACTCGACTAATGGAGGTGTATTCTTGTTAGAAAGTGCAATGCTCGTCACACGTCTCGGATTTTTCCAACTAATGTTTCCTCTCTGTTTTACGAGACCTTAAAAACAGGTCTGGGCACGAGTTTGGACCCGGTGCCTGTAATGCCGAGTGGAAGAGTTCATTCGCCTGCAAAGTCAAGGACATTAGTCAAGTAGTGGAGACACTTTTATTCCATGCTCTAGAAACTGGAAGTCAGGGAAGCCAATATTACGTTCCAACACGGTTGCTTGTTAATTCCAAACGTACTCTGTGACCATAGAAAAGTCTTGATTCTACCAGAGAAGACAGCTTCCAGAGTTTGTTGCTTCTCTCATCTCTTCTTCACCATCACATCGTTCTCGACGTAGTGTTTATGAAGACGTATCTTTTGACTCAGTATCCTGATTGGGATTTTAATTTTACTTGGTTCCATTGCTAAAGCCGTGTTTTAATTTTAGTCACTTTTATGCTTCATAAGGGCTGACTTCTGCTCAAAGCAGTGTCGGCAACGACCCAGGAGTTCACAATGTTTCGACACAAACCCGCCGCCCACAGTAGCCTAAGACTGTTATTATTCTCGTTATCGCACGCGCGAGTGGTGTTTTCTAATCTAGCCCGATTGCTGGACCGAATTCATTCATTGCATTTCATCCCTGAAGTTCGGCCTTGCACCTCTCGCAAGCGGTCATGTAAGTAAAGATCGGTCAATACCGTAGAGACGGCAACAAAGATCAGGAAGGTCAGAATGGACCTTGGGTCCCTGGGCCGTAGGCGGTAAATTTTCGTCTTTCCGAAGGCTGTTTCCTCCTTACACTTGCGGCACAGCTGTCAAGGAAGTAAATTTTTCATTTGCTAGTTCTTTTACATTCGCTAGACTCGAGCCTCCCGGCCAACGAGAATTCACCCGCGTGTCCCACTGAATGCACAGAGAGCCAGTCGCTCTTGACAGTGCCCCCTGAGCACCTGATTCAGCGTCCACTGGATTGGTTCAAGGTTCCTGAGTTCTTGCTACTCTGTCCCATCTACATGCTCGTCCGTCTCATCATCAACATATCTCAGGTTCGGACGCATTTTTCATCTATCTCTGTTACCCCATGCACAAACTTGTTCTCAGTTCTTCCTTGATCTCCTAATTTCTCTAATGAATTCATTTTTACTTTCCAAGGACCCCAGCTGCCTCTAGTTATATAACTAATGTTCATAGCTAACCCCGTTATGCCGGAAGTGATCACCGTTACAATAGATAATCACGATATGACATCGTGCTGGCACGGAAATTTACAAATTTGGTCTCACATTCCAGACCCCTTATACGACAACTCCTCTGTGAGACTGACCCTGTTCACTCTTCACCCACTCATAATTCTGACTCGTTTTTCGTCAATCATGGCACATCCTAAAAGCCCCGGCATGTAGTGTTTCAAACGAATGAGATAACTCGGTCCTCAAGACCTCGGACAGCTTCGATGGCATGCTGTCCTAGTGAATGAAGTCCAATGCATGTCACTCAAGAAACTGTCATGTCTGCGGCACACCTGTGGTGTTGACGAATGCTTTTGTAGGTCACCGTGCCCGTGCCCTCCTCCAGTCATTACGTGAAATTTTATTGCTTGAAGGCAAACGAACAAGTGCCTCTTCTTACATACGCAGGTCTACGTCACGCTCTATCTTCTGTCCTCCCTGGGTCTACCTAAACCTTCCATCGCGCTTATACCTCTGACGATCTACCTTACCAGTGCCTTTACGTCCCTGGGTCAAAAACCATTCCACGATTGTCTCAGCCGGGAGGTATGCTCTGATGACCTCTTGAATT